GATACTAAAATTTCTGTACTTGTCTTAAAATAACACCATTGACTTTTATTACACATTTAGGAATAATTTGTTTCTTTGATACCACCATTACTTCTGTCTTCCCATTATTCAAACTGAGGCCCATTCTTCCACTTTCTAACACCACAATGTCTATCATTTCCTGTAATTCTTTTTGACTTGTTGCTATCAAGACTGTGTCATCAGCATAACGTAAATTGTTTATATTGTGCCCACCAACCACGATTCCGGGCATATCAATTAAAGATCTCATAATAAATTCACTGTATATTGAAAACAAATCAGGTGAAAGTAACCTAATTATGACAATAAAACAGTCTTTAATTTGGGAGTAAATGACACGCTGAAAACGGTAACCGGTTTTTACAACAATTGCAGGTACAAGTAACGTTTTCCGGCCCGCACACATCATGATTGGTCGTTCATTCATTCTTGCTGACCTTTCACACGCGCGATTCTCTGTTACAGGGGTGTCAGGTTGTATAGTCTTCGACGCTGTCACCTGCGATGACGCCTGCTCCATATTACACATTGTGACCGCTTTTAACGGCCCCAGAACATCTAGAACTGGTCCTAACCCCAGAACGCCCTCACCTCATAGCCTCAGCCTACGTCCCACGAGAGACTGCAGCCTACGTCCCGTGGTTTCAGAACTGTTAACATTTTGCGGTGGGCCCTCCTTATCGATCGTGAACGCTGACAAGTAAAGTAAATTCATGCCGTACTTGAAGTCTTAGAAGACTAGAACATACGCAAAGTCGCAGCCTCTCAAAACAATGAGTGAAACACAACGTGTACCTGGCAACTCACACGACACAAATAACAGAACATAATTTTCTACAGAATGGTCTCAAAAATAATTATTATTATGTGCTGAATAGAAAATAAATAAATTTAAAATGATAGTTGCAACTCTTCGTTGGCTGCTAAAGGTGGGTACGGAGCACTTAGGTGAATGTTCCGAGTGCTGTGATCCCGATTGTCGAAATTATTTCCAACGTAGTTTTGTAAAATACCACATTCGTCCGCTCACACAGAATTTTGCCATATCTGCTCGGCAGAGTTAATGCACTTATGAGTTACAACCGTGTGCCATGATGTTGATCCGTCGATTGAACTAAACTTAAATATTACTCTGATCTATGAGATCTCTAAACCGTGTTCGTTGCTAGTCAGCCGTCATTCCACAATTTTTTAAACGAATATAAAGAGACCTCTGTATCTTTCAAATACATATCTGCAACAATAACAGCAACGCATGCCTACAACCTAATATTGAAAAAGAAATCATTATACAAGAGGAATATAATAAGATGACAAGAACGGGGTGGGGGGTGGGACTAATGATTAATGAAATGTACAGAACTTGCCAGTTATGCAAATCAAACTTGAAAATACAAATAAAAAGCATGTTGTAATATTTCAGTTTTACTTAACAGGAAACTAAGAATCTGTATTGAAGATAATTTACTCACGACAAATTTTACATGTTTGATGTGTTCTTGTCGAAATATTGCATGCACGCAAATTACACGTACAGACACGAGAAAACCTGTACAAGACAACATGGATGACTTCTGCTAGAACTACAGGCCGGGGCAGCAGGAATCTACGGTGAACAAACTTAGTCAACTGGGAACTCTTGCCTCACAGTTTTACTTCTTCAATTGTAATATAATTATTCTTTTTTTTATCAGAGGCTGTTTTGTGCTGCTAGGTTTCACAGTTAAACAATGTAATACAGCTTTAAACCTTCATTTCACGCATCCTTTATAATAAAGTTAATTGAGTTTATTGTTTTGTATTGTATTGTTGGTATTGGCTCTGTGGCTCGATGCAAACGCTTCGTAATGCCGGGATGCCTGGTTCGATCCCAGCTGCGGGCCATGCGCCCGACATTGGTTTTGATAGTGGTATCAAGAAAGCCGACCGTCCATAAGCAATGGCAAACTACTGGACGTAAATTTGCCTAGAAAAACCACACAACAGCCAGGGACATTTGGGGTTGGTTCTGCAACATCCTGTAAAGAATATGCAACTAACCTAATTGTATTGGCCAGCGTCGTAGAGAATAGACGATAAGTTAGGTGTATCCTGTCTTTTGCTAGTTGCATAGCTTAGCTTATGTTGTCATATTGCCTTTCTGTAGTGTCTTACTCCCCCCACCCATTTCTTTTTTTGGTTGGCCTCTTGCACTATTGCCTGCTATTCTCCTGTAGTTCGCTCTAGCTGCTGGCTGGCTTTGTTCAATTCTGAACAGATGACCAAATCATTTGATTCTTTGATGTTCTGTGAAATCATCTACCGGTACTCTGCCTACTTTTGTTCGGCTTTCCTCGAATAACGGTCCCAAATTATCGATATACCCTAACAGGGCCTCAGTCAAATGTAAAATGCTGACCTCTTCCGGCGACTACACAGCATACCGCGAAAAAGCTTCCGCCGAGTTAAAGTCACTACCAAGAGTATCTCTCACGCCACTACGCACGACGCGGAGCGGGGCTAAACTAGATGGCTGGGACTCACAAGCAGCAGCTACCGCATCTCATGCAGCTTTCTCCATTTTATTTGCTCGAGAGTCCCAGCCATCTAGTTTTGCACCACTCTGAGCCGCGCGGAGCGGCGTGGGAGATACACTCCGCGTTATGCTGTGTAGTCGCAGGAAGAGGTCTACAATTTACATGTGACAGAGACCCTGTTAGGGTATATTTTTGGACTCGATAATTACTTCGGAGGATAGCTCATTGTTCTTAGTACTTCATTGGTGGCTCTGGGTCTTGTTTTTACCACCCCATTTCTTATACATCTCGTGTGTTGTAATTCATTTATCTCTTTTTAACTAATAATTATTACATGTTGTTATTTTTTACAGGACGTTGCAAAAACCACCCGAATATTTTTTGGCTGTTGTGGTTGTTCTAGACAAATTTACGTTCAGTAGTTTGCAATTGCCCTCTAAAGGGTCAACCATTGAAACCAACATATGACCATCTGCTGCCGAATCACCCGCAGCTGGGATCGAACCTGGCCCTCCAGTTACAAATGGTGTTTGAAATGCCTAAGCCACAGACATCAACATTGTTGTACATTAGTAAAATGTTACTTTATCCCACAAGTTAAGGAAAACGACAGCACATTTTCTGTTTAACAGGACACACCCACATTTTTTTTTGTTTTTTGTATTTTAAATTATCTTCTTTATTTTAAGTTACAAAGTAAATTGAATAAAGGAATATGTTCACTGACAGATTAAACACTAGGGGTATTTGGGTATGGCATTAACCACATTATCTCGCGGTATCGTCAGTTTAGACCAGTTTCTTTTTTATGAGACATTTTTGCATACTTGAGATCTTTAAAATGTGTTTTGACTTTACCTTAACTCTTTGAGTCCCAGGGGGTTTTGCATCACAGTCCCAGGGGGTATTGAAGAGAGTCATAAAATCAGCGCATCATGTGTTTTTTAGGCTTCTTTGAAGGAATCTATGAACGTATCATGCGTTCCTTGGGACACAAAGAGTTAATCAGATATTTCTGTCTTAATGATTTTTTTTTTTTCAACTCCAGCTAAATGATGCTGGTACGATTTTGCAGCAAAGGCTTTTTTTTGGGGGGGGGGGGGGGGGAGGGGGCCGGTCAGTGGCCCCTTACGACATGCAACATAGTGTTGTTCTTGACCTTCCTGGTCAACACAGAATGACTGAACCAGGTAGTAAACTACAGACATTCATTATTGTCTGGTACCTGCACAGAATATGGTTACGGTTCGTATGACAGAAACCTGGCTGGCGAGATATTTTCTCCCACTACAACATTCATTCATTCATTCATTCGTAGACTCGTTAAGTCACTAAACTGATCATTTAGGGGTCATGCACAGAAAAATATTAACTCTTTGAGTCTCAGGGGGTTTAGCATCACAGGCCCAGGGGGTAGTAAAAAAAGTAAAAAAATCGGCGCATCATGCGTTCATTGGGCTTCTAGGTAGGAACCTATGAACGTATGATACGTTCCTTGGGACTCAAAAAGTTAAATAAGATTGCTGTTTTAATTTTTTGAGCAGGTTTTTATTGTTTAAAGCATCTCATTGGTAACCAAAAGCATGCATCGGGCGGTTGTCCATGTTTTACCGAGATCTGTAAGAAAAACCTCCAACAGTAGGTCTGTCTTCTTCTTCTTCTTCTTTGCCTTCACCAGCTGTAAACTCTGGCGGAAAGTTCTGGTTGTTCATCCACTTCTGGATTGCAGTCATGTTCCTGAACCTGAGTGTTGCGTGTGCATCCGTTTACAGATCTGACTCATTTGTATGCAGACTGCTGGTTCCTTGCCTCTCAGGCAGATGCACTCCAATTTAGAAGGAAGCTCCCAATTAGTTTGCTCTTACAACATGCTTTTGGGTAGGCAGTTGGTCTATTCTTGTTCTCCCTATAAAAGGGCCCTGGATCCTACACAGGAAAGTAGATCTTTAACTTGCCATGCATATCATAAGAGATGATTATGGAAGTTCTGCACGAGGCTGGCTGTCTAACCTCCTAGCTGACAAGCAGCAAAATTAAGTCAGACATTAACAAAACTACTAAGGGCTTGGCATAAGTTTGTTGAAAACCTATGCTCCACTGGAAGATAACCTGCAGAAGGTGATGCCCACCAGTGACAAATTTTTGAAACTACAAACAAAATCCGGGATTGCTTGTGAAATTAAGGTATGTATTACAGTCGAGTCCACTTAAGTCGAACTCGGATAAGTCGAATTTCGGTAAAGTCAACATGACTGGCAATTTTCACTATTGTCTGTGCTGTCTGGATAAGTCCTGATAAGTGGAAGCATTTTCTTAGGTCCCTGCGACTTCTACTTATCCAGACTCAACTGTATTCTAATTTTTTGTTAAATGGGAACTTCAGTTACGAGGAAACTTTATATGTGCAAGTTAGAAGAGAAACTGATTCTGTTTCTAAGTTTCTGTAATGTATCTTGTCCTCAGATGTCTCCAAACAAAGTGGCCACGATTCGGAAGGACATCACACAGTGGCTGAAAGACACAAATCAGTACAATGAATTTGTCCAGAATTTTCAGAGCTGCCACACAAATGCTGACAGAGTTGCCTGTCTGTACAAACTGCCTATAACCAAGAACGTTTTAACAGTCCAGGAAAACTTCAAAGGGAAGGACAAAGTGGAAGCAGATTTGCTACGGGAGAAAGGCAACAAGTTGTTTAAGGCGAAGAACTATCTGGCAGCTTTGAATACATACTCCCAGAGTATAATCCTAGCTCCAGACAATTGTGATATCCTGCCCCTGGTGTACAACAACCGATCCACCAGTAGTTTTTATTTGAAGCATTATGCCCTGTGCTTACAGGACATTGAGCTAGCTTTCATGCATAACTACCCTCCTGCGTCTTGCTACAGACTTTTCGTACGGAAAGGAAAATGCATGTATTATCTTAACCATAAAGAGGAGGCTATCAAATCGTTTCAGCAAAGTCTTGTTGTTTTGGAGAGGTCAGAGTTAAATGAAGAAAACAAGAGAAGTACCATTGCTGAAATTCAGAGCTTCCTTGATCTGTGCGAGGATATCAGAGCATCTCCAAGTAGTTTGTCAACCAACAGTTACAACTGTTGCCACAGTGGGATCCCAGATTTGAACTCTCCTCCCAGTAAAGAGGTGCCTTGTATGTCTGAAGATTTAGAGATCCGTCTGGATAGTTATGGTGGGCGAGGTATTTTCGCTAATCGAGACATTGATATTGGAACTGTTCTTATCATAGAAACTCCATTTTCTTCATTTCTGTTGAAGGAATTTAACACTACCCATTGCCACTATTGTTGTAACCGGGTATTTTTGCCACTTCCGTGCAGACAATGCAGTGCTGTTGTATTCTGTAGTTTGAACTGCCGACATGCTGCGTGGGTCAAGTTCCACTGGGCAGAGTGCCGAATTCTGGGAAACATCCTCGACACACAGGGAGCTTTAAGTTTACTTGCTGCCCGAATGGTTCTGACTGCTGGTTTGGATGAACTCGTGAAGTCCAAAGAAACATGTGATGATGGAAAAGTTGATCGAACAGCAGGATTTGATGATGATGGAGTTTACAACTCAGAAAATTATGCAACCTCATATAGTTTAGTTAACCATGCGGACAAGCGAGAATTCAACGATTTATTTTATCGAACAATTTCCGCGTTATTTTTTCTACAAAATTTGGAAGTGGTCGGTTATTTTTCTGAAGGAATAAATCCAAATGTGGCGTTAAAAAACTCAAATGAGGTCTCAGAACAAGCGTTGAGACTGCGATATTTGGTCGGCGGTCACATCCTGAGAAATACCATGATGCTGCCTTGCAATGCCCATGAGGTCTCTGAGTTCTGCCTAAACATGAATGACCCGCCAATGTCGGTCACTCTAGAAATTGGAGGAGGTGTTTACCCAGTTCTCAGTCTGCTGAATCACTCATGTGATCCATCTGTGGTCCGGCATTCCTACGGAAACATTTGTGTTGTCAGGGCTATCCGTGGCATTCGCAAGGGGGAAGAACTCAAGGATAATTATGGTGCCATGTATGCTACACATGAAATGTCTGCAAGAGTTGAAAAACTATCGCAGTATTTCTTTTGCTGTTCGTGCGAAGCCTGCTTGGGTAACTGGCCTCAGTATTTTGAAATTCCAAATGAGAGGCCTGTATTCCGGTGTGTTCAGTGCGATGGGCAGGTACCCATTCCAGCAGGAAACCAAACTGAACTTGCCAGATGTACAAGCTGTAATGTGGTGCAGGATATTACATTAACAGTTCTCCAGATGAGGGACATGGAAGGTGCTTACAAAGATGCTCTGACAGCTGTTGTCAACGGAAGCAGCAGCAATGCCCATATGAGTGTTTTGTTGAATTACTTGAGGTTTGTAGACAAACATGTCCACCGTCCATTCAGAGATATCAACGATTGCCAGGAGGCTATCAAACAAGTTCTCAATATACATGCAAACTGTTTTCCTGGCCAGCTGTAAAAACCGCGCTTGAACTGTCATTGTTCTGCTCCAGGATTGCATTTTGTAAGATTAACACGTCAAGGTTGAGACTCAGCTACAATCCCCAGAAACCCTGTTCACAGTATACACAGTGCAGACCTCTTGGAGCGGTCTCGGATGTGGCGAGTTTCTGTTGTGAAGAACAATTTTTTTTATCCCCTTGCAATGTTTGCTGTCTGGATAAAAGGAATTTCTGATAAGAAGAACTATTTCTTGGGTCCACAGTGAGTCCTCCTTATCAGGTCTGATCTATAAAGCATTTATAATAGGGCACCTGATGGTAACAAATGGGGCTGGGATCCTGAATAATAACAGCAGTTGAATGTCTCCATTCTTCTGTTTATAGTCCATGCTATGGGTTGTTGGTAGTCCTATGTCTCCTCAGCCTTGTGTCACATGTCAGTCATTTTTGTGATGGATATCCTTCCATACCATAATGCTACACTGTCTAACATCTTCTCTCTTCGGTTCTTAATTTATAACGTACCCCAAACACGAAATCCCTGTGGGAAATCCACTGCTGACCTGGCAGTCCATTATTTCAAGGGGTGGAAGTGTGCTGTTAGTGGTGTTTTTTTTTGTTGAGTGTTCATCTAGTGTCTTCTAATGCTAACCCTAACCCTGGCTGTAGATAAATCGCGAGAAACTACAACCTGAACACCCTAAAATTTATTGGGAATGTCTCCCGTGACGTCGTGACATCAGGGGTAAGTTATAAAGTACCCTCTCTTCTGGTGGTACACAGTACTGGCACCTGTTTTTTTTTTTTTAGGCATCATTTTTTTTTTCAATCTGCCTTAAAAAAAAAACACTTTTTGGGTGAGTACTGGTACCTTCTTTTGTAGCAGTGCGCATTACCAGGCAGAATTATTGAGGGGGGGGGGGGGGGGGGGGGGGGGGGGGGGGGGGGCTACTATAATAGACACTTTGTTGTGCACCTGTTTTCTAAAAGAAAATGTCCTGCTTTTATGAAATAAACATCAATGACCGCAAGGTTCATGATTGCCCCACCTTTTGCATTACTATGGATATAAATTTGATCTTGTCTCATTTTTAAAAAATGTTAACGGGAAAGTGGCAGGAGGAACAGAACTGGTTATTCATTTCATAACATGATGTAGTCTGAAAACCCCAGATTTTACAGAGGGCAGCGTTGTATTATTTGATTAACTGAGCATCAAGAAACTATGGAGTGATGCTGACCACTGTTGATGAAATACGCTGGTGCATATATTCTTTTTCTGTTATTAGTCTTCCTGCTGAGTTTTGTTATTTATTTGTTCCATTTGTGACCCTTGTTAACCTCTTGTACACAAAATTTGGTTGCTGTGTTTCACACTGAGTGAGAGTAAACATTACTGGTTAACTTCGTTAACTTTACCATTAGTGTTGAATGTGTTGTCCCTCATGTCTGGCTCCTGGAGTTTCACCAGTCTTCGTGGAGAACACTGATCTTTTCATCAGGTTGTACCAGGTGTCATGGAGATAAAAGATACCCTAACAAACATGGGGTGAAACGATAGAACATACACAACATAATACCCTAACACACATTGTGGTAAGAAGATAGAAAATAGACTACATAACACCTTAACAAATGGGTGAGAAGATAGAACATACGCAACATAACACCCTAACAGACATGGGATGATAAGATAGAACATATGCATTATAACACCCTTACAAACATGGAGTGATAAGAACATACAAATCATGTCACCATAACAAATGGGTGAGAAGATTGAAAATATGCAACATAGCACCCTAACAGACATGGGGTGAGAAGATAGAACATATGCAACACCCTAACAAACATGGGGTGATAAGATAGAACATACAAATCATATCACCATAACAAATGGGTGAGAAGATAGAACATACGCAACATAACACCCTAACATACATGGGGTGAAAAAATAGATCATACATAACACCCTAACAGACATAGGGTGAGAAGATAGAACAAACACAACACCCTAACAGACATGGGATGGAAAAGAGAGAAAGTGGCAGAACAAAACAGCAATGAGAAACAAACTCAGTATTAGTGAAATATATATATATATTCCTACTGTGATCTACCTCTGCTTTGATAATGAAAATACAAAACTATTTCATGAAAAAGATAGCCATTTCAAATATGTTGACAATAATGGGTTTGTTTTCAACATCTGTCACCAAGTCTGAGTGGCCAGTATGTAGGCCAGATTTAAGCAAAGCTAGTCGAGCGTATAAGATGATCTGTGAACACAAAACATATATCTGAAACTCTGTACGATCTATGAATATTACACATGAAACTGGTTTTACTGCATGTAGCTGCATTTACATGACATGAGGTGTACAGTTCCTTTACTTAGTGTTTTTCTTACATGGGAGTGAAGGTTCCCAAGGCAGGATGTATCACACTGTGGTTTACAAACATTCTATCTCAGTTGGAAACTGAAGCCTACTGGCTTGCGAGTCAATGCACCCCTTCCACAGTATATCATCATCATCATCATCATCATCAAGTGTCTTGCCGACTGGCTTAGGTGATCATGTCTCTCCACAATCTCCGATCCGCAGCTGCGTGTATCAGTGACACCCCTCCATACCATGACAAAAGGTTGCCAAGAAGCTTCTCACTTTGTCTTTCTCTGTCTCTTTCTGTCCACAGATCTTTCCAGTGGTCACGACATGTTTCCATTTTCCCTCTTCTCATTACATGACCCAAAAAATGATGAATGTCTTCTTCTGATGTTTGTGATCGCCTCTTTCAAAACCTCTGGGTTGCTCTTCTTAGTTGTTCAAGGATTTCTAAGGATTCTTCAGTAAAACCACGTCTTCAAGGCCTCAAGATATTGTTCAGCTTGTTTATTAATTGTCCAGGCTTCACAGCTGTGTGGTCAACATGTAACAATCCCATTATAGACGAGAAGGTCAACAGGTTCTTATATGCTTGTATGATTTATGCACAGATATTTACAGAGATGCTAAACTATCTTCAATAAGATGTGGAAATTATTGACCGAGATAAACAACACATTAAAATGAGAATCCTCAAACGTTATGAATACTCAGCTCAACCCTGCTGTATAGTGCAGAAACCTGGATGATGAAGAGGCAACTACAAAATCGAATAGTCTGGCAATGTGGATATACAGAATAGGTTGTATTCAATGGAAACAAAATACAGAGGTACTGAAAAGATGTACGCATGAAAAGAGAATTACTGGCCACATTACAAAACATAACGCTCTTTTAAAATCCATACTGGAGGGGAAGATAAAGCGCAAGAGGTAGACAATGAAACACATAGAAAGACAACAAGAGATGGACAAACAGCAGTCTAAGAGTATAACCAAGATGAGAGACACAGCATATTGGAAACCCACTGTAGCCAACCCTAAATGTGGAGATGGCACCTGACTGGCTGATTTATACAGATCACACTTGCATACTCTGATCACATAATAGAAAAGGATGCCAACAGATTCTCAGACCGCTGATTTATGCAAGCATCCTGACTTCATGTCTGATCACATCACAGGCTATACCTGCGAACAGTTACAGTCTGATTTTAAATAGTTACATGTACACATCCATACATAAACTGTTGTGGATCTAGGAGGGTCTATGTACAGATTCTAAAGCAAATGTATCTTCTGACGGAGAACATGTAGAGAGACCAGGAATTCCCAGATCGACCAGCCTTAAATGGGTACCAGGTAAAAGTCCTGGGAAGTAAAGGGGCTAGCTTGCTGCTGACCACATCATCCCCCATGTGCTGATTGATATATAAAATATAGGTCTTTTACTGTGTGCCCAATATACCTACCTAAAGGTGTGAGAAAGGGGTCCTATACTTTTACAGTCAGGAATTCTCTTTCACACATCGAGTCTGGGTGTATAGTGCTAGCCTGTATTTTTATAAACCAGTTAGGACTTGGTGGGTAATGCAGCAGTATCACGCCAGCCACCTTTACCTTCCAGGACATTTCCTGGTCACCAGTTTAGGATGAGTAGACAAGGGATTCCAGTTAAATCATTTGAAAACCACTCTCCTGGCGACTGGAACCTATGACTGTGTTCAGATCACAGTGACTGTTTTAACCTGCATAGTCTCTACACGTGAAACAACACGGAGATCCTCACCAGAGCTACGGAGTTCATGCTTTGTGCAACACTCTCGACAGGTGGCTAGCCAGCCATTCTGCAGGAAGAGAACAAGTGATATGGGATAAAAACCAGTGAAATGAAGTGAATCCTCTCGACTGACTCACCTTTAGTCAGAAAGCTGTTAACTGATGGAAGCCTTCGTCAACAAACACACACCATTATCTCTACATTATAACTCATCTTTTGGTGTAAATTATAGAGCAATCATAATAAGAAGAAGAATGCCTGTTAGGCACAGGTTCAAATACCCGTCAATATCTTGATTTATTCCACAACCGGCTCTGCTGACGTCATGGGGTCGGGCTAACGATTCGTCAACAGTTCTCAAACAAGAAACAAACTATTTTTGACAGTGGCGAGGAAAGACAACTTAAATTTTAACTTTCAAGTACCTACATGCCTTCTTACATAATTTCAAAATTTTTAGCCAACTTTTCTTGATTATTGCCTCGACACCCCTGGCATGCACCCAGGGTGGCGCACAGTTTAAGAACCGCTGCGTTAATGCATCGTTAGCCTGACCCGGTGATGTCAGCAGCATGGCCCATCAGCTGGTGCTGGTCGTGATGTATATACTGTTTAAACAATAAAACACAAGCAAAAAAATCCAATACTGTCTCAACATATTACACAGACTGAAACAGCAACCTCTACTTCCGGGTGAAGGCACAATGGCTAACATGTCACAGACTATCTTCAGGTTCACACACACGTGCTGAGTCTGGATTGTTTGTCCATGTCTGGTCTTTGGTCTTGTTCCAGGACTATTTTAGCTTTGTGCGCATATCCATTTTACAGATCTGGCTTATCTGTGTGCA